ACCTAACAGGAACCTAGGATCCTTTACCCGGGTAACTGAAGGAATTGTGAACATCATTATCATGATCATCATAATTTTTCTACTTTTCATAACATTCTGATGATTATAATCAGAACATTGGCAATTCCTTCAGTTACCCGGGGAAATGATTCTAGGTTCCTTCTAGGTACCCATATCAATACCCAGGTATCATCAGCAGAACTGTTATAATTCCTCAATTCCTTACCATCAACCACAAATAAACTACGATGAGTGTCGGTGTTACCGAACCAGTTCCATCTGCTTCCAAGACCGCCCCATAAGTTACGTGAACTTCCAAGACCACTGAACGAATTCCCACCACCTCCAAGACTACCGAAGGAGCCGCTGCCTTTTCCAGGCTCATCGGATGAGCTGCTTCCACTTCCGAGACCGCCGACCAAAGTACTTGAACTTCCAAGATCACCGAACGAATTACTTCCACTGCCAAGACTGCCAAAGGAATTTCTTCCTTTCCCAAGCCCATCGAACGAGTTGCATCCACTTCCCAGACCGCCGAACAAGTTATTTGAACTTCCGAGGCCGATGAACGAACTGTCACTATCTCCAAGACAACCGAATGAATTACTTCCACTGCCAAGACTACCAAAGGAACTGCTTCCTTTTCCAAGACCACCGAATGAGCTGCTTCCACTTCCAAGCCCACTGAAAGAACTGCTTCTACTGCCAAGACTACCAAACGAGCTGCTTCCGCTTTCGGCACCGCCGAGCAAACTGCTTGAACTTCCAAGCCCACCGAAAGAACTGCTTCCACTACCAAGACTACCAAAGGAGTTGCTTCCACTTCCAACACCACCGAACCAATTACTTCCACTGCCAAGACTGCCAAAGGAATTTCTTCCTTTCCCAAGCCCACCGAACGAGTTGCTTCCACTTCCCAGACCGCCGAACAAGTTATTTGAACTTCCGACGCCGCTGAACCAAAGGATTAGGAAAAGTTCCATGAATTTCATTTCAAAATATCGCCTTTTCACGCTCTTTTATTCCTTAGACTGAACTGCTAGAGTCTAGAAGCGGTAAATAATTCATTTGTGTCTGTGTGTCTGTCCTGGCTGAAACAGGTTCTAAAAATCATTGTCCCTCTCTTCGTACGGAGTGTCTTTTTCTTTTTTAATTTGCCTAATAAATGCATCAAAAACAAATCACATTCTTTGTCTTAGTCGATTGTTGAAGTAAAGTGATGTCAATTTTACTCGATTCAAATTCCAGGAGAAAAATAACCATTTTAAATATATCTAGCAAATATGCCCGGAATATCGTACTCGACGTGTATTTCGACTATTGTGACTCTGACAGTAGAAAAAAAACGTTGGAGTGCTACGTAACTGAGAGCACTCTTTCTAACGGTGAACCAAAATCTTAAATTTGAGTACTTTCATTTCCTTCCATTTCTCCTAACGAAGAGGCATTGTGGCGTCGTTTTCGCGGTCACATGAGTAATTTAAAATTCCAGTTTTCATATCAAAAGATGTAGTTTTGAAAGCCTCATCCCATGGTGTGCTTAAATTTTTGTGGCGATTTTTATTTTTAAAAACCTTTAGCGGTAAATACTAGTTTTTCAAAACTGGGATTTTTCCAGTAGTTTGGTTCTGGCTACCACACTCCAGTCAACGTGATGAAAGCATCTAACGGAGATTGCAGAGGAAACATTTCTCTATCTACGGTATAAAATAGTATAAGGTTCGATGAAGTTTTCATGGAGTTGTGGGTCAAATACGAAAGCCCCATTTTCCCATGTTTTTTCAGGATATACAAGTTTCCAGGCTACCCTATATCACTTCTTGAGAATAGTACCAAATATCTATAATAATCATGAAGAACGTGTAGTCTACGCACTGTGGGCATTTTTTGTCAGAGCAGGCGGACTTTAGCTTTATGAGTGCACTAAAATTTCATGAACCATTTTTTTATAGGTTTTTCATGATCCTCTTTCTAATGGCATGAGAGTTGGATTTTGAA